CCACCAGGTTTTGTTACACCAAAGTAGTAAGAAAAATTAAAAGCATTAAGTCAATTTCTCATGAGTATTTCTTTCTGAATGCAAAACCCAAAGCCCTGAAGCAGAAGCGCTGACTCAGAGTCCAGAACAAGATTTCTGGAAGTTGTCATTAAGGCCCCTGAGTTCAAAATACGAACAAGAAGTTTCAGAAAATCGCTGATTTCAGAGCTGGGCCTAAGTCTGACACTGAACAAAGGCAGAAAATTCCAAATTCCTAAAATACCAAAGCGTCTTCGTTTTCAGCACCTGCTTTGAGCAAATGATCCCTTTTTGAAGTCACACTCACGGAGATGGATGATGAGCATTCACATTTCTGATATTAATTCAAAAAACACACCCAAACAACGTGAGGACTGCTTTACTTGAATCTACCCGCCATGGAGCATTGCAACACACAAGTGGCATTGCCCTGAACCCTACTCAGGCAACCAAACACAACAGATGACCCACTAGCTCTTGTCCAACACCGACTTGTTCCTCAGAAAACAGAGCTGCTTCAGCTGGAAACAGAGAATGACATTTCTTCAGCCTAAAGAGAAATGCTATTACTGAAGTAGAACAAAGTTGAAACTCAACCTGAGTTGAGTTTCAGCAAGCTGGCAGTATTCTAAAGAAGCAGCGGCCACGCGTCCAATCTGAAGACAACACTTATGTGACACCTTTCCTCTCATTGACAACAATGCAGGCCAATTGTATTCACAAATTCACAGCATTAAAAGGTCTGCATGGACCAGAAAACATCATATATTTTCAACTTCTATAGTCTATGCGGTATTAAGAACATTGTTGAATAACTGTAATCTCTGTCTTAGTTAACTCCATGAAACAGCTCTTCTCCAGAAAGAACAACCTTGTTGTCATCATTAGGCAATTTCAATAATGTTGTCAAATAATTTTGACAAGTGTGAATGTTTCAATAATGATGTCAAAGGGAGGAAACTTTGTTACATAATTGCTCAAAGTTTTGCAGAAAAGAGGGCTGTCGCAACTGGAATTTAAATATTTGTTACAGGAACAGAAAAAAAGAAAAGGGGGGGGACTCATAAGTCTTGATGTATTACTTAAGACCTATGCCAGAGTAAATCCAATGAATGCACTGTATGAAAAGACATTGATCTTCAGGTGCTTAATGCTCAAATCACGTTGGAATGCAACAACACACAACCACCATCTGGTAGAGATGGCATCTAATATTTTAAAACTCAAATGTATCCAAATCTACCGGACATTTTCTTATTGTGAAGTCAGGAGAAACAATTTATCAGTAAGATTGCAGCTAACAATAATTTCATTATTTTTAGTTCCCAGGCAATGGTGATATGACAAAGTAACAGACTGATTTTTACAGTTCATTTACAACCTCCCAGAGGAATCAAAAGCAGTTTTAGATAAAGCTGAACTCCTAGCTATATTTGTATTATTTCTCATCTTCCTGTTCAATCGCAAATAAGATATGAAATGTGTCAAATATTTCTGGCAAAACATGCTGGACACTTCAATGCCCCTATCGCAATAAAGGCTTTGCCTCCGTCAGCAGCACCTATAGAAATTTATAGCAGCAATTTGTGCCCTTAAGTAGCTTGACTGGATATGATCTCTGAATCCTCTGAGATAACATGGCTTTTTTTTTTTTTTCTTTTTTTTTTCTGTCCATTAGAATACTGTAGAAATACTGCCACTGAAATAAGCAAATCAAGAAGAAAAACATGATGGCCAGGAGTCAGAAAACAATATTTTCTCACATAGCAAACAGCTCCTCTGTACTATCTCAGATTTAGCAAACAGTTGCCTAATTATTTACCGCCACAGCCATGGTCAGCAAGCAGTCTGGAGACACACACATACCCTGCTTTCCACCGTTAAAGCAACAAAGTCATTGACTTTGCACGGCCTTCCAGCCCTGTGGCCTATTCTGACCAGTGAAAAAGACAAGGAGCAAAATCTGAATTTTCTACCTTGAAACAGGGGAGTGATTTTTTTCCCCAAACCCAAAGGCCCGGATGTCTTAATGGTGTGGCATCACATGACCCCCGGCCTTCCAAGGCAGGCGGTGAATCCTGTACAGCTGACTCTGCTAGTTACAGCACTCAACAGCTGGGGCACACATAGTTTGGCACCCTGATAACGCCCGAAATGAACACAAGAGCATTCTGCTCTTCTGAAGAGGAAATAAACTCCTAAAAAAAAGAAACGTTAGCATTAACACTGCTGATTGAAGCTCACCTTAAAACCATGAAGGCAACATGTTTTGCATTTGGTTCAGAAAAACAATAAAGGCAGTGTTTACAGAACTGAGAAATTTGGAGAAATGGCACTCCCTCTTCAAAGCATATATTGTAGCAATTCTTTTCTGATTAGATCAGCTCCCATAGCAAGTCATCAGCACAACAATCACTGCAGTGAAGTCATACCACTGGGACTCCGATGGGAAATCACGAGCTGCTTGGAAACACATTTTGAAAAATAATGCTTTCTCCAGGTTTCCAATATATCATAATTAAAACAAGTCCGAATCTTCACCTTTGCTCCCAATGGCTGAATAAAACACACCTCAAACAGCAAAGCACGGCATGCCGGTACGCTCAATGTGACACTAAAAATTAAGGCAGCAGACATCGGATCCTTGTGAGCAATTTCAGGATTCAGCTATCACTGCAAGCACCATTTGCAGCCCCCACAACGCCAGCAACTCTAACACTTCCAGAGTTTATTTTTTATTAAAAATGTGAATTAGTTTTAGGAGTTTATTTTAATGAAAATCCATTTGCCCACCAACACTGAAAAACCAAATATCTCAGCCCTCGTGCAGTTAAGCTCTCTGGAATAAGGGAAATTAGGCCTGCAGTCTCTTCCAGACCTGTAAGCAAGCAGACCTGAGCTGAACTGCAAATATAGGGTAACGTGAAGCAGAATAGAAGCATTTTAAATTAGAACTAGGACAGGAAAATAGGTTCCCTCAGTGTAATTTCATTTGTGTTTGTTTTTTTGTTTGTTTGTTTCTTTGTTTACAGAGTGAACAGTCCACCCACTTATAATTTTTGCAAAAATTAATTTAGCTGCATACAAAGTAATTGGATGACATAAAAAGAAACTGAGCATAGAGTAAAGGCATCCTTTTGAAGATGATCTATTCCAAGCCATAATTGTTGCTCATCTAAAATGCACTAAAGCATTTCAGTATCAAAGTGGTGCACATGCTCCATAGCTGCATTGACACAATGGGCAACAGACACAAAGGAGTCATTAGCCAGTGCTGTTAATGACACATGAAATGCAAGTGGCACAGGTACCAAGTATGCTCAGGCTAGCAGGTTCCCATTTCACAGCAGCCATCCAGACTGTTTCTTATTTTTCAAGACTTTGCCACAACCAACCAGGATTAAAGAAAATCTGCTATCAGCATCATCAAATCAAGCTGTCTTACATCATGCCACTCCCTTTCCCATCAGTGGGAACCATTTAACCAAAACCCTTACAACTCAATGCAGGCATAGGGCTGAAAAGCCACAACCTGTCACAATAAGTACTTGAGATATAAAATGGAACCAATCTTTTCCCCAAATATCACTGAAGGACTCAGCACAGCAAATGCCAGCATGTGATGTGACACCGTAACAACTATTTCTGGGACAAGGATCTGATCCGAGCTGTTTGCTCCAAGCGCTTTCACTTAAATTAAAATCAGATCTGTAACACTTTCAAGAAACATTTTCACATTTTGTAGTGGCCAATGCTCTGAATAGCACTCTCGAATCACATCTCGCAAACGATATCTTCTATCCCAATTAGTTTCAAAAAGCCGTGTAATTTACATGCCTAATGAGCTAAATTTAGTTGCATGCATCTTTGTTGTACTAAGTGCCTCTTTTTCCCTGTATTTTCCCTGCTTTCAATGACAAAACTCAGGTGCTACGTGCGCTAAGATCCTCCTTTGCCTGGCTACAAAAACAAGATTAAAAAACGGTGGAAAAATCAGCACAAGCTTTCAGGGCAGCTAAACGGACACTGAGACGCTGCCCGCATTTCATAGGGGAAAGTGGAGAACGGCGAATAAAAAAGAAAACCCATCAGCACCAGTCATCATCGCCTTTCTCCCCACAGCAGCAGAGCGCGGTGCGGGCGCCCCGCGGCCCCTCCGCCCGCTCCCTCCCGGGGGAGCAGCCCGCACCGCCGCCCTGCACCTGCCGGCCGCCCTACCTTTGTATCTCTCCAACACATCCTCGTAGGCTTGCAGGTACTCCTGCTCCTCGGCATAGAAGTACGCGCCGGGAGAGAGGTAGCCAGCCATGGCCGGGGGCCGCTAGCGCTGCCCACCGCCCCGCTCGTCTCCCGAAGGCAAGAAGCCTCGGGAACGGCCAAGAAGCGAAAAAAATAAAATAAAATTAAAGGGGCGAAAAAAAAAAAGACTGCCGGCTGGAGGAGGGTGGGTGGAGGCGGCAGAGGAGGACGCTGCCGGCCTGGCCGAGGAAACGCCCATGCTCGGGTTTCAGCAGCCGCCCCTCGCAGCGCGCAGGGGGCGGCCCCAGCCCGGCCGCCTCCCGCCCGGCTCCGGCCCTCCGCTTCGGGGCGCGTCGCGAGCGCCGCCGCCGGCACTTCTCTGTTCTCCCCCGCCTTCCTCTGCCGCCGGCGAAGATCCGGCCCGCGGGGGGGCCCCGTGAGCAGGGAAAGAAGGAAGCGCCGGCGTCCCCCGGGAGCGCCGAGCCCCGCCGCATCCTCCCGACGCCCGTTCACGTACACGCTGCTCCCGAACCCCCGCCCGCCTTCTCACTGCCCAGGGGCTGTGGCCGCCCCGTCCACCAGGAGCCGCGATAACGCCGCGACCCTCCCACGGCCCCTGCGGCTTCGCATCAAAGTTAAACGCGCGCACCTGCCCGCAGCCCGGCCCTCCCGCCCAGCCCGGCCGCAGCGCTTAGTCACTGCGCTCGGGAGGGCATCGCGCGTTGGTCCCATCCGCCCCTTACCGGCGATGCGCAGCACGGCCCGCTCGGCCGGGTCCAGCACGGAGCCGCCGTGGATCTTCCGCTTGGAGCGTTCGTGCTTGGGCAGGTTCCAGGGCAGCGTGTCCCCCGGTGCCGGCGACCCCGTGCCCGACTTCTGGCTGAGGTCTTCCTCCTCGGAGAGATCGGCGGAGGACGACATGGAGCAGCGGTAGGACGCGGTGCCGGAGCTCTGCACGGGGAGACACAGACACACGGGGCCGTGGGTGCGCGGGAGGACGCGCGGGGGTCCCCGAGCCGGACGCGTGGCGTGGGAAAGCGTCCCCGAGGCGTGGGGTGGGGGGGACGCAAAAACCGGGCCCGGGGGAGAGGAACGCCGCTCACCATCGCCGCGAAGGCAACGTCGGGCGATCCTCCGAACCCGGAGGCGGCCTTCGGGGGGCTCGCTCGGAGGGATGGATGCCCGCGGCTCCGAGCCCTCCGCCCGCTGCTCCCACAATGAAGCCGGCGGTGACAACAAACCCTCCCGCTGCCAACCGCCGGCGTTTGGCTCCCCCGCCCGGGCGAGGGGCAGAGCTGCCGGCGCCGGTCCGAGAACGCGGCAGGAAAACGCCCGCCCGCCCCCGCAGGGCCGCCCGCACCGCAGGGCCCCGACCCCGGCCGGGGGGTCCTTCGGGTCGGCCACGGTGAGCACCGCCCGCACCGCGCTGAAGGCGGCAATTTTCCCCGGGAGTACGTTTGGAGACGTAAATAAGCGCGGTTGCAGTGCGGGGAGAGGCTGCTGCCGTCCTCGCTGTCCTTTCCGAAGGGTGTGGAAGGAAGCGGAGATATCGGAATGATGAGGTTTGCACAGCAGAGCTGAGGATGAGGATGCAGCGCACCCTCACAGGTTGCCAGGGCAGGAGGGAGGGCTGCTGGGGCCTCTCCTCTGTGCCTTCTCTCTGCCGAGATGTGATGCCTGCAGGGGATGGGCGACAGCGACATCTTCTATTTGGAATTAGAGATGGGCACTACCATGTTCTCCTTTTGAAAACGCAGCCAGATGTGGGCCTGGGTTCTGTATCTGGTTTTTAGGGCTATGCCAGCCTCGGCTGAGAGAAGCACATACTTTTGGGCACTTGGCAGCCCTCATCCAGGCTATGCAGGCTTCAGGCTGTTGGATAACAAAAGTGCCTATGTTTTAGGCCTGCTCAGGAGCGCTCATAGCTAGGATGTGCCTTGAAATCCATATGGCTCTGCTAACAGAAGAAATTTATGCTGAGAATGAGTTCTGATAAAATTCCTTGCTGCTGTCTGAACAGTTCTCTTATCGGCACTCATGGGATGGGCAAATGAGCCACTATTATTACATCAGGGGTATTTACCCTTTAAAAAACAAATAGTTCAGAGAAACAGTGTGATGCACAATGTGCTACACACAGAACTGCCAATAACATAAATGATCTGCTTAGCTCCCTTGTTTAAAGAAGGAATCCCCCATGTAAATAAGGCGATCTCTTATTCCTGGACACTTTGCTGACCTTGTTTACTGCACTGCCAAGCCTCTTTTCTCCCTCTAGACTGGATAGCCAAGTCCAGAGGGCAGGGAAGAAAGAAATGGATGCTTACAAACAACTGACTGAATTCTTGATCGCTATATAGCAAATAAACAGCATGAGGCAGCACGGGAGAATAGGGTTCCTGTGGCCTGTCCACAGCTCCACATTGTGCAACAACAGTGTTCTCTGCAATCCCAGCATCCTGCTTTGGACCTGTGCCTTCCATTGGTGCTCAGTACTCCATGAGGACACGAATTCTGCCTTTCAGCATCTTCACCTTCTTCCTTCCTAGTTTGTAACAGGAAGACTGGAAGCAATACTTTGTTGATATTTATATAGCAATGGGAATATACAAAGTAGAATGGCAGTTGTTACCTTCAGTAACCTTTGACGAAAGAGATCTCAACCCTACGTTTACCTCTCAAAGTGCAATATAATTTTTATCCAGAAAGTTTCCCATTCCTCAAAGGAGCCCTTGGTAGCCATTCTCACTGATTAAATAACTCGTTTCATAGCTGCTCTTACGCTTAGAAACCAAAAGCACTGTCTGGTGACAATTCCCTGCGTAACACTGAACGGGCCATGCCCTCTGTGGAGAGATCCATTCTAAGAACAAGGATGCCGTCCCTCTGACCACAGCACTGGGAGGTGAGCTCTGTGATGAGGTCCAGCTCCCACACTTTTGAGAAATTACATGGAACGGGCAGAAGTAGAACAGCCTTTGGCATCTGTGCGTATTCCCATTAGCCATGCTCTTTTAAGTTGTCTTCCTTCATGCACGCACTAACAAAGCTCGTGATGTAGACCTACTTTGGTTTAAAATAAAAAATATGGAAAGCACCTCTATTGTTACACTGCTGTAAGCAAGTGGAAATTATACATACTGTACACAGTCCACTCAAACCTGGATCAGGCCCCTCCTTCCCTGCCTGCCCTGAGACACAGCGAGGGTCAGGGCTGATCCTCAGAGCAGGAAGATCCCAGCCCTGATGCTGCCGCAGCTTACTCCGTGCCTCACTCCCATCGTGCATTCCTCCTGCTCCCTAGGCTGAGGACTCATTCATCGCCTCTGTGGTCGGACACAGCCGGGGAGAGCTGCTGGATTTGCACAGTATGTATGCCTAGAGCAGCTCGTGCACCGAAGCCTATTGGTCGCACATAAGCAAACCTGGGTTCAGTTCTGCCTGCATTAAAGCGTTAGTGCTGACGCACGGCTTCCCCGGCAGCGCCGCAGGGGGGTGCAAAGCGCCCGCAGCCAGCATCGCTCCCGGCGGCTGCGGCGGCCCAGAGAGCAGCGCGCATTGCAGCCGGTACCGCGCCGAGCCCTGCCGTCAGTGACACAGCAGTTGTCTGAGTCAGGCTCGCTGCTGCGCTGTAACTGCTAGCTGGTTTCCAGTAAGGGGGGGTGGGATTTCAAAGAAGCAACAGCACGCTTCTTGTAAGCGGGGTTTGGCGAAGGACCAAGTCATGATTCTCTCTCGAGGGGAGAAAAGAGGATTGTTTGTGGTAAGGAAGGCCCTAAAGATAGGTGGAAAAAAGCGTAAGCTGACACGCAGCACCACGCCTCCATCACATCAGGCACACCCAAACAGGATCTGATCCCGCCTGAACACTGCCGGGTTTTGCACTGTCATTCCTCAAGGGGAAAGATGAGCAGAGATTCACTTCGAACATCATAGAATCATAGAACCACTCAGGTTGGAAATACCTTAAAGATCATTGAGTCCAACCACAGCCTTACCATACCACCCTAACTCTAACAACCCTCTGCTAAATCATGTCCCTGAGCACCACATCCAAATGGTTTTTAAACACATCCAGGAATGGCAAGTCAACCACCTCCCTGGGAATCCTATTCCAGTGCTTAACAACCCTTTCTGTAAAGAAGTTTTTCCTGATATCCAGCCTAAACTTACCCTGGCACAACTTGAGGCCATTTCCCCTCATCCTGTCACCTGTCACCAGGAAGAGATCAGCCCTGCTCTCTCTGTAAGCACCTCTCAGGTGTTAGAAGAAAGCAATAAGGTCTCCCCTCAGCCTCCTTTTTCCCAGACCAAACAGCCCCAGTTCCTTCAGTCTCTCCTCATAGGGCATATTCTCCAAGCCCTTCACAAGCCTTGTTGCCCTTCTTTGGACCTGCTCCAGCACCTCCATGTCCCTTCTGTGCCCATGTGCCCAAAACCAAACACAGTACTTGAGGTGAGGCCTCACCAGTGCTGAGTACAGGGCCAGGATGACTTCCCTAGTGCTGCTCACCACACCGTTCCTGATACAAGCCAGAACGCCATTGGCCTTCTTGGCCACCTGGGCACACTGCTGGCTCATATTCAGCCAAACATCAGCAGGCTCTGAACTGCCTGCCATGCAATCCAGGCAGCAGGAACAGCTGGGAGACTGAGACCGAACGATCATCACATTGTAAAGTTCCCCATCTTTATGGCACTGGGGTTTGTGCTGTGCAACTGAATCATAATACAGAAGAATCTTCTCTTTGAGAAGAAATTCCATTGCAGTGGATCCTTTAACTTTGCTTTTTGGAAGCTTTTGGGAAGTAGAGAAAGAACATTGCCTCATGCTTCTGACTGAGATTAAACCCTCAGTTTAGACACAAGTTCTTCATGTTTCATTCATACTAAAGTATTTCAGAGCTTATGGAATACATTTTCTTTTCTTTTGTAGTGTTCGTTGTGGACAATGAATAAACATGAGCAGATATAAAACACTGAATCGTGGTTTACTGAATGTGTTTCAACAAAATCCCTTATAATTTAGAATAATTTAGAGTACCATTTGAATGTAACGTGCTGTTTTCATCCCAGATTGAATGATATCAAAGTTGATAAAATTTTATAGTAAAATAACTTAATACATTTAAGACAAAATCTAGGGGCAACTGAATGTTCCCATTAGTAAATCTTTACCCCTTTAACCTGATTAGATGGTAATGCAACGCAGAATACAAAACACCCAATGTATGTAACCAGGCTGTGCGAGTCCCTGGGTCTGCGTGTTGTCAGAAAGCATCAAAATTCAAAACACACAGAAATAAAAGTGCAAATAAGGGCAATGCAAAAGCAACTCTGCTAAGCTTGGGGGGGGGGGGAAAGAAAAAAAAAGAGTAAAAGAAAGGAAGGAAGGAGGAGGAAGAAGGAAGGAAGGAAAGAAAATCCACCAATGGAGACTCAGCTCTATTAAATGAGTATTTCTTCCTCTGGTTCTGTGCCAGTCATTTAAGAGCACATACATACTTAAAAGTGCCTTCATTAACAGGATGTGTAAATGTAAGAGTAGAGTTTCTGGGCTTTTTGTATAATGTTACAGAGCAGAAAGCCAGCAGGTAAATACTCTAAATATGAAGCTCCTAAGCATCAAGAGTCTGTTTCTACATTAAACACCTTAGTGAACAGTTCTCATGAAGACTGTTTATTACTTTGTAAGGACAGTTTACATTGTCCATCTGTCTTTTTAATGGCAAGAGAGAAATAAGCATTCATTGTTTATTCCTGGATGAGACATGAAACTATGCAGCATGTGTACCACTTCTCATGTCAGGCACCTACTGGTCTGACATGATCCCATCTTCTGTAACTTAAAAGAAAATCAATTAGTGAATATTACACCACAGAAAGTTTTTGTTTCATTTACTTCGGGTGCTGGTGATCTCTTTCAGGAGCAACAAGTTGAGAGATGGTCCACATTTATAATTCCCTGTTAACTGTCAGATGACAGTTTTCACAGGTCTCAGCCATTTTTACCAATGGCAATGGGATAAGGGAAAAACAAGGCAGAGAACTTCCCTGCAGTTTAAAGTATATTGGTGTGTGAGGAACACCTGCTTGTAGGTTTTATTTTTCTTTCTTTTTCAAAGGAATAGGTTGGAAAGCAAGGCAGCTTCATTTTGTGTAAGACCTGGACATAAGCAGGGCCAAATATATTCAGGCTAAAGCCACATTGTGCCAAAGCTACCAGTTCTCCCAATGCACTGCTTAGTAAAACTGTACTAATTAAGTGTGATTATCTCTGAACGTAACTTGCAAATGAATAATATTAGATCAGCATGACAGCCCTGATATGTTCATGTTCCATATTTAATCCATTCCTCTATTTCTCTTTTCAGTTTTCCAATATGAATTGCAAGACTTAACCCTGAAGGAATGTACCTACATTTGTAGAAGCAAACAAAGTTACTGAAGATTTCTTAGAAGCAAAAATAATAATTTCAGCTCTGAGCATCTGGGAAACCACAGTACGCAGAGTAAGTATTTTAGTTTAGCTTTATACTAAACCAATCAACAAGTGTTATTTCCATGATTTTTAAAAATCAGTGTTTCAAAGATACTAATATGAGAAGTACCTAAAATATCACAATTTCATAGCCTCAAAATTCCCAGTCTCATATGAATTATTTTTTTGTAGAAGAAATGCATGTACCTCAGATGACTGCTTTATACAGCTGTTGCAAAAACGCTCCATTAACTAAAAATATTTTTAATTAATTTTTAGTTACAGTTATCTTGCATTTATTAGATCCCCCTCATGTGCCAGACACAAAAGAGAATAATGCGACAGGTAGATTTAAGGTTTGAGGAGGGCACAGATGGTTTTATCTCCTTATTGAGAGCAGAAGGCAATCATGCAGCAGAGGAAGAACGTGGAATCAGAAATCATCTAGCTTCAGACACTTTTTTACTGCCTTCTAAACTTCTCATTGTAGTTTTTATATATGTTTTAATTAAAAACAAATTTCTCAACCAGAAATTCTGTATCAGAGTGTAAAAGAAAAAGCTGAAGTATAAAATGGCTTTAGAATCTCTGATAAGCACAGATTACTTTCCAGAAAGAAAAAAAAAAAAAAAAAAATTAAAAAAAGGATTTAGAAGAAATTTAGAAGAAATGAAAATCTTAAATTGTGGTATTGATATCATAGTGTTAGTAACAAGTGTTAGCATTTTTGGCTGATCCTTTTCCCTCCTTTCACAATTACACATTCATTTGCTCTTTTCCAGCTGTTTTAATCCAGTGTTTTAAAACAAAGTTCCATAGCTTGACCAATTGACATTTAACCATTTAAAAAATGTAAGTTCTTACAATTACATAACACTAGTAATACTAGTGTTAGTTAGATAGTAATTAAGTTACCAAATTGTTTTCAGTTATAAAATCCATTTTTGGTTCCCTTATGTTTGGTTGGAAGTATTACCTGCACAAGCTTGAGTTTTCCTGAAAATGTTGAGACAAAGGCTGACTCAGAAGCCTGAGAGCAAAATGGATGACAATATCCAGTAGCTCTCTGTCAACACTAAGAATTAAAAAAATAAAATTGAGAGGATTCTAGGCTTTGAAACAGCTATTTTAAATCAAGCTGTATACAGGGCTTTTGTCATCTTTGTTAAAAGTTTGTCAACATTTGCCAGTGGTAAGTCTTTGAGATATAGATATCATGTGCTATCCCTGGCACCGCAGAGTATAAAGTAGATCTCTTGAAAGCGTGGTTTTGATCTCACTGCTCTGACTACAGAGCTGCTGCAGAACCTACTGTTCTCCTGATTAGAAGTAATTTTCCTCTACTGGCACCTGAAATTTACACTTGATCTTTAGTTTTTGAGATAACAGAATTCATTTGCTTAAATACTCCTTTTGCTTCCCTGATGCAAAGCCTGCATCATATTTCCTCTCAGCACTTTTTGGTTTTGCTGATCTGGTCAACTTCTCTTAATCTCTTATCTGCTCATCCCTGTCATCTAGTAGCCTTTCTCTGCGAAGTTAAATAGTTTGATTTATTCCTAGGCCTTAGGTGTCTACCAGTGTGATTTCACTGGATTTTTTTCCAACAAGGCCACATTTGAACTTATAGCTAAAACCTTGGTAGGTTGGCACACACAAACCAAAGACTGTCAGAACTACAGCTGCCAGGCCACTGCTCCACCACCACAGACTGACCACGCAAACCCCATCCTCGCAGCTCTTACCTCCCATCTGAGGACACCTATCATCCTCGCTGAGAAGCTGAACAGGATACTTCCAGCATGGAGATATGTAGACAAAGCTGATCTCTCTGCCTAATAGTCACTTGCCACAGTTGCAGACTGATTGCAGTGTGGGCAGGAAGCATGGAAAGCAAGGGCAGGCAGGCAGCAGACCACTGTTTTTTATATGCTCCTGGTGATTTGCTCGGCCGTGCTTAGCTAGGAAGAGGAAAAAGCCATATGATCTGAATGCAGAGAGGACAAACACCGGAACCAGCATGCTGAAGGAAAGGGCAGGAGAAATACAGCTGGACTGACAGCCTGAGGGACAAACACAGAGACTGGCTGAGCCCGGAAATACAATCTGGGGGCTGGAGCTGAAGAGAAAAAGCGTTTAAGGGCTCAACAGCCTGCATAAAGACTAGAGGATAAACAGAGCCGCAGGACAACAGCTGGGACAAGTGACTGTGCTGGAAAGAGTGGACCAGGGGAGAATCAAGGATCTAATGAGCTGTTGTGAAACTGGTAGTGCCTCAGCAAAAGGCTCTGAATGGGGTTACGTGATGAACAAGGCAGACAGGAACTGAGGAGACAGTCTCCAAGAAGAGAGACAAACAGGAGCCAAGGAAGGTAAAAAAGGGGGCCTCAGGGAGACACAGAAATTGAAGAGCTGGTTAGACAAGTACCTCTGAGCACCAAGGTAACTGAGCCTGGGGCTGGATTCACAGGGATTGAGAAACAGGAATGACACAAGGACTAACAGAGCAAGAGCAGGAGGGCTGGGGTCAGCAGAGGAGCAAGTGGTGGGAAGCATGGCTGAGCAGGCAGGAGAAAGGAGCCAGCGGCAGGATGGAGGAAGGCCAGGAGCAGGCTGGAAGGAATGGGCCAAAAGTAGTAAAGCTTAGGGAGAATGTGCACAAAAAAGCACATTCCCCTGGAGAGCCTGTAGGAAACTGTAGGGAACTCCACCAACAGCAAATATCTGAAAGTTCCTCTAGAAAATTAACTCTTCCCCTGTATTATTGATTCTCATGGAAGAATACAAATACTGTCAATCTCCGAGTTTCAATAGCAGAAATTTCTCTGGCATAGTTCAAGTGACAAAACCTACTCATGAGCCGCACAACAGGGCTAAAGTAAATTACTTTCAACAGTAAAATCTTTTAACATCAGGTTCCTGCTAAAGTACTGTTCTTAGGGTTGCAAAATCAAGCAGTCAGATGCTACTAAATCACTCAATCCCCTTAATTCAGCCTTTTTATTTCCACATCATGATGCAGTCATAACAATCTGGCCATACGCTATTGCGTCCACAATCTCTAGCCCGTTTAGTGCAAGTGATGGGTGATATTCACTCCATGAATAGTTGCTCAGTATTTGGTTTTGCCATACACTTTTCAGTGGGCAGCCCCAGAACTTTTCTTTATGCTACTGAAATAATGATGTGAAGAAAAAATTATTTTGCAGACTGTTTTGTGGCGCTCTTCACTACAGTGAATCTAACTGCGTGGTATCTGACTGCTTCACAATTAATGATGATCTTTTGAATTATACAGGGGACAAACTGAAACCAATAGATCAATTTTGGTACCTGAGGTCAAACTAGGGACAGGGATCTCATTTTTAAGAGTTACTAGAATCATGCATTAGTAATACTCAGAGCCTGGACACGTGGAGTTCCATGCTAAGTGGCAGGTTGAGAACTTTAATAAACCTAACTACATGCTGTAAGTCAGGCAATTGGAAAATGGAGGATAAAGTGTTTTAAGCCAGTTGATCGGCAAGTTCACAGTGACCTTGTGCCCATCATTCTTCAAGGCAGCACTCACTGCTTTTTGTAGAAATAAAAGATCCTTTCTTCTCTCAATTTCATTTTCTCCTTTCTCAATCTCCTGTTTTATTCATTTACACACTCTACAACTTCTGCAGTAAGACTCCCACACATAAGAGTCATCTCAAGAGCACTTCCATCCTACAATGGATGTACAGAGTACATCCTGGAATAAAGAGTGTGCCAGCATACATTTACAGTTTATATGGCAATGTAGATGCATAGTCAACTGAAGTAAAGCTGCACATGTAACATTAATTCCAGCATTTCCTAGCATTTGAATACCTGCCTTTGTCAGTCTGTTCTTTTAACATAATACCCAGGTGCAATGTTCTATATAAATACTAATGGATAATGGAATCCCTTGCTATATAAAGATGTACTGTTTATGTGCTACAGTAGGATGTTATACAATACAACACTGAAGACTGACTCCTGAGGAAGAGGAAACATCTGCATTTCGAGTATAATTACTAGGGATCTGAGAGACAATTACTGGTCATTTTAAGCTGTGCAAACAACACCACTGCAACAGAATCATAGCTGATTAATGATGTTTTAACCTGCCTTCTGCTACTGTACAGAAAATCACTAGAAAAACAATAATCATTTTAAATCTCAAATCAAGTTCTTAGCACTTTATTGTTGTATTTTAACCAAAAAATATTTTTAAATTTGTAAAGACATCACCTCTACGACCTACAAGTAAGAAACCCTCAAGAAATCTCTTCAAAGTCCTGAACTACCTAGGAGCTGGGCAAAAGGAACAGAAGAAATGGGCAACTTCTAGCATGCAACAGATGAGCTGCAGGGTGAAGGTAAAAGGAAGTCAGGAGCAAGCAACAAGGGAGGAGGTCACAGAAACGAACAGAAAAGTGGGAAAGAGTCTTTGTGCAAAACTGCTTCAAAAGGGTTTATGAGGGGATTTATCTGCTTTAAGAAAAACAGTGAAACATAGAAGTCCAAGAAACAGGTGCAAACAGTCCCTTGGTAGGCATGTGTGTGTTTGGAAAGGGAGAGAGACCTTTAAAGTCAACCTAATGTCCACTGAAGGCTCTCATTTATTTTGAAGGCGACAAATGCAACTTACACACTTAGAACAGGCACCTAGAGATACCTTTCAAGATACTAAGATGCTTCAAACTTGTTAAAATTTTTATAAATTAATCACTTAATAAACCCTCTCCAGTTCTTCTTAAGATCAATATCAATATTCTTTAGATACTGAAGCAAAAACTACACACACTGTTTCCCTTTTTTTATGTTCATTCACATGTTCTTTGCATTCATGCGTTCCCTGCATTTCTTCACTGTGGCTGTATTCATCCTTAGAGTGAATGTGTGCTTCATGTGCTCAAAGATTTGTCACACGTTCTGAGAGCATTAATAGAATGTTAAAAAAATGCTGAAGATGAAAGAAGAGTTGGTTGTGCTTTGCCATATCTGCTTCTAAATGTGATTCACAAGAGACGCAACCCAACCCAAGGAGATGTCTCCAAAAGAAAGCTATGAATGTAACCTGTAGATGAAATAGCTAATAGTTGGAATTAACCAAGTCTTGTGCAATGTGATGAGTAATTTTCGTATGTCATCTGAATTGGGTCACTCAAAATATCAAGTAAAGTACATCTTGATATTGAAAAAACAGTAAATAGCATCAGATTAAGAAAAAAAATGGAAATTATGTAATGAGACTTTAAAAAAAACACTTAAAAAGACCTTCAAAACAATTTTTCCACAGGAAATACTTCATGTGAAGTAACACAAGTGTCAACTAATACCTAGACCTCTGTTACTGATCTGGTATCAAACATTTTTAAAATACTATATTTTTCTTCTGGAATTGTAATAGTTTCTTTTTTTTTCCCCTCATAAATAAAGGTTTAAATACATAAAAGCAAAAACCAGGATAGCTGAATAATACTGGATGGTGTGGCTCATGGTCTTAAATGCATTATAAACTGATTAACTTTGCTTTCCAGTCTGCGTCATCGGACTCTTTACAGTGTAAGCTTCACCTCAGTCACAGGAGTCTCAGTGGAGCCAAACAAGGCTGCTTACATCAGTAGACTTTTAACACATGCACCTGAAAGTGAAGGAACAAGGCTTACTTACAGCCTCTGTAGTCTCACCTGCCGCTTGAAGAGATGCTGCCATGACAAATGCAAGTGTAAATTTTGATAGGCATCATCTTAAATAACCTGGGTGCTTGAATGAGTCAGGTGATTTAGAAGCACTTCAAACGGTTTAACAATGAAGATATCAAAAAGTGCTGCTTTGAGAGCATCTCCTTTCAGCTATGCATTTAAACACACAGGATAGAACTGTCAGAATCGTATGCCTAACTGACTCCACAGCACAGAAGCTAGGCACATCTACACTAACTCAAGGTTATCACCTGGTTCCAGGCCATCACAGACAAACAAACTTAATAATTTACGGAGCGGTATAATCTTGCTTTAGATTAGACCACAATGAAAAACACAGATAATATTTGCAAAACACTTGTAATAAAAGTCTTCCATTTGCGCAGTTTAAAACTCACCCTGGAGAAATCTCTCTTGACAGCAGCAAACTCATAAAAAGCTCCTTTTTGCAAAAAATTCCCTTTTGCAGAAAATTGAACTACTATTCAGAATGAGCCATCTGATTCTTGAAAGGAGATACATAGGGCTCCTTTAACTTGCGTGAAGTCATGCTAATTGAAAGAACACAGTCCTGCTTCTCAGAGGTTCTCCATTGCGCTCAAAAATTCAAAGCACACTTTGGTAATAGGTATCCATGCTCTTGGTGTGAAGAGGGCCTTGAACTGTGACTACACAGAACAGCTCAAATAACACAACTACCAATGAGAAGACCTACAGGGCACAATATTGAACATTGTCATAAAAGAGGTAAACTGCACAATATTATGCTGATGTTTCACTGCAAGAGGATGAATAAAATCAAGTGTTAAAGGATATTAACTATTTCTTGTAAAGATCAGCATTAAGACAAAGTATAGGAAAGTATTAAAATCAGAAGAAACTGATGTTCTATTTCTGCAAACATCTGCTCATAGAGATTTTCAGAGAGAAAATTATTCAGGAATGTTATTCCCAAACATACACCTAATTTAGTTTTGACATGATACTCGAAAGATCTCAGTTTACTATGAAGTGAGTGAGAAATATGCCAAGCAAATGGAGATAATTTTGGGTATGTCCAGGAAAATGAAAAAAACATATTTACATGCAATAATGTCAACTAAATACAAGATGAGCCAAAGCAGCAGGAAGCTTAGCATTTAAACTTCAAATAAAAATTTTAAAGAAATACGTGAAAAGTATTTATTATGTTATTATGAGTGTTATTGTATCTTAATTGAGTGGCAACACAGGCTAACATACGTTAGGGCTGGTTAAACAAAAAATTTCTGGAGCAAAGAAGTTTTCCACAAGGCTGTTTCATAATTGCTTTGGAAATACCTCTTATCAGAATACAGGAACAACAACAAAACACAGAATTAGTCAAAAAGCAATGAAAATAATCATATAGAGAAATGTTTTATGAGCAGAAATTATATCTTCTAGTTAGCAGACATCATTTTTTTAAGCAATGACTAAGCAGGATATGGCCAGAACTGCCTATGAATACTTCCATGGTGAAAACATCAAGGCAATAGATGATTTATTTTTAGTGCCTCAAGTGAGCAGAACTAAGAATAACAGGAAAAAATAATGGAAAATGATGGAGAATTATGCAGACTAACAAGCATTTCTGGCACTAAGTCATGTAAAACTGTATGAAGCCAAGGGCCAAAAGTATCATATTTGAGATGTCAAGACTGAGCAGAGCAAAGCTGCACCAAAGTGAAGGGTGGATGACTTTGCGGTTCTGAGGAACTTTGCAACACTGCAATGATTTGTCATGGCATGAACCTTACGCATGCTGTCACCATGACATCAATAATACATTGAGAATAACTTAGAATGTCCATAAGGAATGAAATTGGTGACTCATGTTTTCTGGATTGTAGTGCAATAACAATAATGATACTTTTTTTTTTAATAATGTGAGTTCATCAAGGCTTTAGAACAAAAGACTATCAAAAGAACTATACAAAATTGCGTAGGAGATACACAGCAAAAGTAATTTCAAGGTACCAACACAATGGTGACAGCTTTGAGAGAAGTTTACACTAAGCCTAGGATTTATTACTGTTTCAATGGTAAGACTTGTCAAACACGAGCAGATCTGTGAAATGCAGTGAAACTGAAGTTGCACAGTAACTGTGCCGGTTTCCTGTTCTTGCATTATTTATTTTCGCTGATCCTAAAGTCTCTGACATGCTCCTAACTTAAGGGAAAAATAGAACTCTATTAGCTTCACTAAAGCATTCTTCAAAGCCTATTTTGTTGCTCACAGAATTTCCACAGTTTTAGTTCTTTAATTCAGCACCACCTTTCTTAATCTCCATGATGATAATCAGCAACAGTTGGTAATACCCTCGGCAACTACAGATGAACCTACTTTCAGCACAGGTCTACCAGAGAAGAAAATGAGACTACATATTTAGTAATGTGTTCAGTTTTGGACCCCTTACCACAAGGAAGATATTAAGGCCCTGCCAAAGAAGGGCAATGAAGCTGTGAAGGATATGGAGTACAGGTCTTACGGGGAACAGCTAAGGGAACTGAGGCTTAGTCTGGAGAAGAGGAGGCTGAGGGGAGACTATCATGCTCTATTTTTGCCTGAATTGGAGGCTATGGAAAGATAGGGGGTTGGTCTTCTTTCCTAGGTGAGTAGCAATAGGACAAGAGGTAATAGCCTCAAATTGCACCAGGGGAGGTTCAGGTTGGACATTAGGAAAAACGTTCTTGGAAAGAGTAGTGAAGTACTGGAACATTCTGCCCAAAGAGGTGGTAGAGTCACCATCTGTAACAGCAGCAGTACCAGCACAACGAGAAAGTGTTAACAAGAAAAGGAGGATGCTCACCCATCTCCAAAGATCTAGGCTCACAGAAAGACTCCACAAAAGAGAGATCACCAGTAAGAGAAGTGACCTTAGTGGTATTCAGCCCTTAAATGGGGTCTGAGCCTGGCTCCACCCCTTCGATTGCACAGGTGAATTACCTTCACCTGCCCTTCCAGGGCTGAGGGGTCTTTTCCCCCCAGGTGCTCTATCAGTGGTTCAGGCTGTGACTGAACCATATGCCATCCCTGAAGGTGTTCAAGGAAAGTGTAGATGTAGCACTGAGGGATGTGGTTTAGTGGGCATAGTGATAGGTTGATGGTCAGACAAGATGATCTTAGTGGTTTTTTCCAACCTTTATGATTCTATGAAAATTAAGAATAAACAAATAAGAAAGGGAATAAAAAAAAAAATAGATTCTGGAATGGAAAATAATAGAGGAGGTCAGAGAGGGGAAAGAGGGAGAATAAAGTGGGCAAAGGATAAGAAGCAAGTACAAAACAGACAAGACCAGGTGTAAAGATAGAGACCTTACAAGAATAATGGAGTCAGATGAAGTAACCTGAAGAGCAAGGTAGAATGGGAGCGAAAGGAATAGGGTAGGGAGGAAAAAGTTTTAAAAAGATAAGATACATCAATCAGATCAAACTAAGCAATAGGAACAGCAGCAGAGTAAAACAACAGAGAAGTAGAAACAGGAGAGAACAGAGGAAACTGGGAAGCAGTGAATTGAAAGCAGAGAAACTAAGTATACTGGCTAATAGGTACAACTTGTGGCTGGTGCTGGCAAATTCAGCTTTCCTTTCTGTGCAGAAGTTTCTTGCTCTCAGGCAATATACTTCCACCAAAGAATGCTCTTTTTCAAATTAACTACAGAGCTTCCTGGTAATTCTTGGTAATGCATTAACAGAAATCCTAGAATGTTCAGTTTGGATGGAGGAACCTTGAGACAATCTTTAATTGGGTATGCTGAATGGTTACCTTTTTAATAATGCTGTCTTACTGGAAGTAGTTCAAGCCTCTTAACACAGGTGCAGATAGGTTAGTCAACAAACGCATTGAAAAGGTGAATTCTTATTAAAAAGAGAAATGCATGATGTCTGCAGGACATACAATTATTTTTACACGCATTCACATTTGGAACTGTCATATTTCCTCCCTAAAAGTAGGATATCAAAATTAAAAGAACTACGTATAGATCACGCTGAAGAGCAAAGAGCAATAAGATTCTATGCAAAATTGAGCAGAAGTATTATAAATACTGTATAAAGCAGAAGAGACCTCAAAAATTGTATGCAGTAATGAGGTTTAATATAAATTTGGTTCAGTACATAGATTCTCTGATAAATTTAGTGAGGAATTGCAATAATATCTGATCTCAGTTTCAATTATATGCTATAAAAATCTGTTAAATAATATCAGTATAAAACTATCAAATAAAATATGTGATGATTAACTATTTGCTGAATATTAAATCAAAATTCAAAAAACCCCTCTTCAGAACTGTATTTTTTGAAATTGTGAACCAGCATTAGGTGAACTCTTACACTGCTGCATGTGGAGTCACTGAATGTGAGAACTGAAAAGATCTTTAAAATTGAGGGACAGAATACAGGTGGCCCAAAATTCAGAATCATATTACCTGCCCCTTAGTGTACTTTCAGTGGCACTTATCTCTATGGGTAGAACACTTACTGGTTTTCGAGTTGGTGTAACTTGAACGGAATGATAAAATTCTGGTTGCACTCGGCTGCTTTTCTTGATTTTCCTTTTTCTTACAGAGGTTTCCTGCTCGCTTAGATGGTGAGCTTCTACTAAAGGCTGTGTTTCCTCAAGGCGAGGTGCTACACGTCTTCTGGCATGACGAGGACTTGATCTAAAGCCCTGCCACAGAAAAAACAACCATGGTGTTTAACATCTCCTATTAGAGCCACGTAACAACAGAGAAATCACACAGGATCTTAACAAGGACAACATTGAGGTACAAGCATGCTCATTTTAAATTAATATAACGTCCATATACACTGCATATAACAATAAAAGGATGTTGCCATGTGCTGTGAATGTCACATTTGTTTCATATATTTCATATTACGTATGTTATTGATTCAGCTAGCAGTGATAACTCCTGTTGCTTTTCTTTATGAGCCCACATCAATTCTAAGTAAATAACTATAATTTAAAATTTATAATTAAATGTTCCAAGTTTTCTCATGGCCTTGTGAGAAATTGTTTTAGGGAGTGTGAGCAGAAAATACACTTTTTTTTTCCTGAATGGAAGTGAAGAAAAAATTGGTAGCTAGCAATACAATGACCTTGTGTAACTGTTCTTGTTAAGAGTTCTGATGCTGCTAGATCTAGGAGGAGACCTTACCATTTGGAATAGAAGAGTTATGAAAGATAGCTGTCTTTTGCTTATTAGCTGGGAAATACATGCATATTTGGCCAAAATAGTAAGTTTAGGAAAAGCTTCACAAATGCTTCACAGAGGTTTGCTGTGAAAATTTCTGAACATCAATCAGACTGTCTTACAGCCTTACAACAATTTCATTTATTTAATGGTAACAGATATAATAGTAGCCCTATATTGCTACTCACAGAAGTTTATACAGAGCATTCTCGTATTTTCCTGGGTTCCCTCAACACCAATCATCATGAATGTGCAGGAGCCTGCCACCTGACCAGGCTGAAAATCAATTTCATTTCCTTGGTCCCACCAAGGGACCAAGAACAAATTGGCCAGATCTATGTCCTTAGTGACAGTCTGGAGTTTATGGACTTCATTCCCTTTCAAAACAAGGAATAGATACAACAAATTTCTGATTTTCTACCTTATTTTTCCTTTCAGTGAAATGTTTCTATCAATGTCCTTATTCAACAAATCCAGCACTCAGAAATAACCTGTTCATATAGAGAGTAGAGCTTCTACAAATTAGGATTTTAGTTAAAACTGCAGCAATCCATGCTGTGAGCCTCAGTGTCCTGAGCTCCTGTCAGTTGAAAACTAGTTGGAACAATAAATTTCCTTACAAACTTGCTGTTCTTTCTTGCCCTCTACTTTTTGCTTTTAAATTACAAATCCAGCACAGAATAGTTATGCTAAAATGTTATGTTTGTGGACAGAGGTAATCAAAAGCCAACTGGGTGGCTTTTTGTGCAAATTGGATTGATTCCTCTAATGTGCATGCCACTGCAAGGGAAGAGACCTGCAGTCTATTCTGGGCACTATGCATGGACAGTTATTTTAGCTTTTTAAGGAAATGCTCCTGATGCCAAAGCACACAAACATAACTCACAAAATATTTACATACACATGCTGGTAATTACAACAGACACATCTTGTATGCAACATGGTGTGAAAAGGCTGAATTGCCAAAATCAGCACTTGGATAAACCTAACTTCTCATAGCAACCTTCAATTGCTGGACAGGAATGGACCCCAGCCCTACTTAGACCATGGAGGAGGTTGAGTTTGTACATGTGCTGCATCAGGACTGTGAAGTATATATGACAAAGATGCAGCCCAAATTTCCTGAATCCTTATTTATGATCTGTCCTACACTACTGAAGCAAAAGAGTTGTTCAGGCTACATGCAGGAGCTGACTTTGATTCCCTGTATCTTTAATGGACAAGCATATTTCTGCACATCAACCAAGACACGCAGCAGGGAAGCTGCTGCAGCCAATAGACCTACATCGATTTAGGAAGGCCTCTAAACATTCCAATACAGAAATGTATCAGACGTTCCATCATGCTATTGCAATGGGAGAAGCTTTTGCCCCATTTTCTCTGCACATTGCAGTTAACATATTTGCAGTGTATCATCCATCATGATACTAAGGCCAGTCAGGATAACAGGGCAAAAATACAACACAAGGAGCCTACCATTACAGAGCTTGTTTATTTGCAAAAAATAGTAGTGTGCACTGGGGATTATTCCACAATAAAAGAAAATACTCTTTAAGAGACCAAAATACTCAGCAAAACTGTTTTGATTTTCTAAATGTAAAACAGATTATGATTCATTCACAGATAATGGCCACTGGGGCTGTGTCAGGGGAGGGTCAGGCTATATACATCACACTTCAGTTGCTCCCTTACCACACTCCCATCCTGCTAGCAAGATAAAACTCTTTGGGAAAGTATGTTTATGTAACAGAAGATTTTGGTAGAAGCTAAGCAGCTCTAAAAGTGCTTACAGATGCATGCCAAATACGGTTTTAAGTATGTGGGTCTCCCAGTGAATGACTTCCCCTCAAAATACTTCAAGATACACTAATTGAGTATTATGCCTCAATACTAAAAAGTCACTCGTGATTTCCAGAAAGGTCTGTTTATGCACAGCACATCTCCTTTGTATTTGGTATATATTTTTTTCTCTTTTGCTAGCAAGAAAATGAAATCTTTATCTCTTTAAGAGCTCATCTGCTACTGCTGCTGAAGCTTATTCTTCACTTGAAGTCATAATCTGTCTGCATTGGCGTGAGTGGTTACTCTGGAGAGGATTATAATGCGATGAAGGCAGAGGATCATGATTTCAGGTGGAAAATTGATTCCTTACCAAAAGATAATATTACAAGGGCAGAGTCCTTAGACTAAAACCTGAAATGCTTACTCATTGCTGCAACAAGACTTTGCAGAGGTGCAAAGAAATGCAGAAAACACTTAAGAGTGATGCAGTGTATGGGAGCTGCTGTTCCTCACTCAGTGCAAAAACTAGATCTGCCAGAGATTCCTTCAACAGTGAAATTAATAGAGGCACCATGTGCCACTTCTGTTATTATTCTTCAGTTGAGCCCAAAGTTGAAAACTTGCAGTACTAACATGGCAATCAAATTTAAAAAAAAAATAAAAATAAAAATTGAAAATGACCAAATTATTTGTTTATTTGGTAAAGAAAGCACTATTTTAGATGGCAAGCCAGAGATGGAGAGCAGACGAGTATTACAATGTATTCATGGACACAGTGCACAGTCTGAGACCAAGCCACTGAGGAAGCATTAGAGATTTTAAGATGATGCAAGCAACATGAGGTTGCTCTAACACTGTTAAGCAATTTGTACTTTCCAGAGTCATGTGAATGCTGTGTCACTGGACAATGACAAACCTCTTCTTCTTTGTGTTGGGAGATAGCTGTTCCTTCCTGGACCCTGCTGCTTCATTCATTTTTTTATCTCCATAATAAATTATGACACAAGGCAAACCAAACAAGTAACACTTCAAATACATGTTTTTAGAAAATCTCTTTTCTTCTAGCACTATTGTACAAAGAGCACAAGTTTACATCATAAGGTATTCTTCCTTAAAGAAAAACCAGAACCAGCTTTTATGTATCACAGAGAAACTCAAGAAACAAAAAAACAGAGTTTATCTTCTCTCCAAAATCATTCATGCTTGTCCTTCTAGTTAGCTCCCTAAAGGAAAGATTTCTGCCTTTGGAGGAAGGCTGGGAAGATCTAGATTTCAGCTGAGCTTTGTGAATTAATCCTTTTATGCCTTCTCTAAAGGTTGTGGGCTTTTTTTCTGGAATGAAGTGTGGTAACATTGAATAGACCTGTTGTGTCCATCATTTCATCTAAACTAATGAGGAATGATCCAAATTGGCACTGTGTGCCAGTGAGCACAGCTGAATGTTGTATAAAACAAATTCCGTGGTAAGATGCTCCATTAAAAAAGAATCTTCCTCTCCAGCAAAATTTTAGGATCACACCTCTAATTCAGTGCCTGATTTGTGTGTACAGAAACACAGTGTGGGATGCCTATGACCAAAGTTCAGCAGATCTATATCTCTATAGCTACCTGAAGGGAGTCTGTAGTAAGCTGGGGGCCAGCCTCTTCTCTCATATAACTGGTTATAGGACTGGATGGAATGGCCTCAAGTTGTGCCAGGGGAGATTCAGGTTGGATGTTAGGAAATACTGCTTTTCTGAAAGAGGGGTCAGTGCTGGAATGAGCTGCCCAGGGAGGTGGTGGAGTCACCAACCTGGAGGTGTTCAACAAGCGTTTAGATTTTGTGTAGATGGACATGGTTTAGTGAGAACTATTGGTGATAGGTGGACAGTTGGACTGAATGATCTTGTAGGTCTGTTCCAACACTGGTGATGCTGTGATTGATTCTATGATCTCCGGAGTCTCCCTTTGGAACAAGTGAAGTCAGTGGGTCAGACGAACCTGGAGTGACTGCTTCTCTCCACTGGCCATAAATGAAGCCCAGGATGACTGCTTCACTCACAGATAGCTGTGCTCCAAGTGTCCAAGATTAAACAGTATGAATCTGACCCATGATGAACATGAGGAATTTGGTCTGCCTTGGATCCTCCCATCTACGTTGTATCAACAGGCTTCCTTTTCTTTTCCTCTTCCTACAAGATAACTGCAGTCTTTTTCCATCAGTTTTGTGTGGGAGTTTTACATGTCCTTATTCATTAACATAACTCTTTCTGGATCCACATAATTTAGCACAGTATTCTTATTAATTTCTATTACTGATATATATATAATAGTTTTGTGTGATTTTCAATTCCATTTAAATATTTCCCATCCCATCTTCTTTTTTGATCAAGTTATACATCTGATAGAGGTCATCGATGAACTGTAATTCAAAAGATCCTTTCTGGAGACCATGACCTTAAAAATTAACAAAGTCCACATATGATTTTTCTCTGTAATATGACCAGCTCTTGAATATCATTATGTATTCATTTATACCATTTTTCAGAATTTTATGTGGTCTGGTATTTGATAACACTCTGCAGGCTTTATGTCATGGCCTATTTCCCTTCCTACTTCATTCATTAATATTAAAAACAGGATTTTGAACCTTCTTAAATAACGTCCCTAATTTTTGCTTTTAATGAGGACAGTTTGGATAACATATGAAACT